TTGTGAAGAACTTCTGGAAACTCAGTGATGAACGCGCTTGGCTCTCATTGAGGATCTGGAAAAGGTGGAACGAATAGAGTTCTTGAGTGTTTCTGGGAAGCCATGAAGATGAAGCTTGATGAAGATGATGATTCTGGAGAAACGGATGAGCATGCGATGAAGATGATGATCGGAGATCTTGAACCCTATGATGAACATCGCTCGAGGAGGGATGAAGATATGGGAATCTGGCCGGAGATGATGATCATGGTGAAGACGATGATGCTCTTGAATCTCGTATGAAAACGGTGAAGAACACGGTGAACCTGGGAATTTTTGAGAAGTTGACGAATGTTCTTGGTGATTTGCAGTTTCTGACGAGTTGTTGGCCGTTTCCAGCGATGATTATGACTGTCCCTGCGGCGGCTGCATGGTCGGCGGCGAGGGGAGATGGTGAAGCAGGTGAGATACACGTGTAGGGATGAGGTGGCGTGTGCAGGACGGGTGGCGAGCATGCATGCAGTGAAGTGGGGACATGCAGAGTGAGGTGGCCTCACGTGGTGAATTCTGGGGAATGAAGTGACGGAGAGAGAAACTGAAACGTAGTGGCCTTTATAGCGTGACAAGTGGCATGTTTGGACTTGGGCCTCCAGAAACGTGGACACCTGGCCCACAATCACTTAATGACTCTGTTAATTGACTGAAAACTGGATTAACTAATGGATTAAGACTCCTAATTAAAACGAAATTAATACTACTGCAGATTAATAGTGACAATTAATGACTAAAAGCTCTAATTAATGCTTAACGAAAAAATGATTAACCACTAGTTAATGCAAGCTGACTCTAATTAATCCTAATAAAAGAAAAGCTTATTAAAACTAAACACCTCAATTAATATCTAAACTAAAATCTATTAAAAATCTATTTAAATTCTTAAAACCTATATTATCCTAAAACAAATAAAATCTATTTAATAAAACCTAATGTCTATTTATTAAAAAAGAACTAATATTCTAATATTCTAAAAATCTATTAAACAATATAACTCCTATTTATTTTAATAAACCCTAAAAATCTATAAAAATCTAAAAAAATGCAATAAAGGCAATTAATTCAATTAAAAGAGGACACGAGACCAAATCGAAATAAACGGCAAAAAGCGGACCTCGAGATATCCTCAAAAATAACATCGTAGGCTGAAAACACCGGGAAGAGCACAACTTCCCAAAAATAGGACTCCGCTTATCCGAACCGGTCTAAAACGCCTGAACTACGAACATAGGGTTGTAATCCCGATAAAATCAAAAATGGCTGAAAAAATGCAATGTATGCGGTATGCGAGTGCGAATGCAAAATGCGTCGAAACATAAACCAGATGTGGAAACCGGTTGGTCAAATTTTGGGGTGCAACAGAATACTGTCTGGACCACCAGTTATAAAATTCTGGGGAACATAAATAAGAAGGTTCAAAATAAAGTGGGGTATGTGAAGATTTATGGGCATGACGCGCCAATTGGGTCGAGCATTCGATGAGGTTAACGATGTGGTGTGAAAGCAGAACATGGGATTTCTTCTCGTATAAACACCTAGGTAGGGTTTGGATAAGTCCAAACTGCCTCGACACAAGATTTGGTTGGTAAGCTATCAGGGAAGCCTGTCCTCTTGTCAGATTGAGTTTGTGGACAAATAGTCGAGGCGTGAGGAATCTCTCCCAAATCAGCTTTGATTCCTCTTCTTGTTTCTTGAGCAAAGCTGGGAAAGGCCTGATGAACCATTCAGGGCCACGTTTCCGTTCTGCGAAGGGAGCCATCCCAGGTGTGAAGACATGTCGCTTTGCAAACATCTGGACGAAGCCTGAGAAGTTGGCTCGAAGTGTTTGCCCCTCTTCGTTGGGGGTAAGCTGAACTAAGCGGGGCCATTCGACTTGTCTTCCAGAAATCGAAAGAGAACCTTCATCAACTTCACCTTTATTTGGTAGGTTGCCTTCAAAAGTGGCGTTTAACCACAATTGAAGTAACCAAAACGGTCCCGACATTACTAAATTGCCGTTATTCTTAGGGTCTTTCCGTTTGCCGGCACTTTCGCTTAAGGCTTCGTATAGACTTGCAAGGATCATTTCGCTCAAACATATGTCTCTCTTGGCATGTAGCTGGTTCGCCAGTGTTATGTATTTTCGCGCCACCTGCAAGGATTTAGTACAGAAAATGCAACGAGACAACCACATGGCCAAAAAGGCTATATGTTCCTCGTCTTTAACAGCGGCATTATTTTTGTCATGATAATGGTTGATGAAATGGGTATAAGTATGTTTGATGGTTGAGAAACCGATAGTGTCTTGGCTATCAACTTCAGGGTCGTAAGTCAGTCCATGAGGTTTCAGTCCTACAATAGCAGCAATATCAAACAAGGTAGGCGTCATCATCCCACATGGAAGATGAAAAGTGTAGTGTGTGCTATCCCAAAAGAACAGAGACGCAACCAACATCAGAGGGCAGTAGTTGGGACCTACTTTCGACATCATAATAAGGTCATAGATGCCCATATCCTTCCAGTCTTGAGTTTTTGCTTTTTCTACCTTCTTCAACCAGTTGAGGTAGAGTTCAGAATCCTTGAAATATGGCATAGCCCTAAACAATATTGCGCCATCATGGAGATACTTGAGATCCACATTATAAACATTCAAGCTATCTGGATTATCCAAGGGGACCTTTTGGGAGTCTTTTTGCCCTAGGGGTTTGGTTTTTCGATAAGAAGGAAAAAACTCATTCAAAGTGGAATAGTTTAAACCAGAGAGGGATAGAGGCCCGGACATGACAAGCGGTTTATCCGCGACAGTAACGGGTATGATTACCTGGGATTCGTAGATATGGCGCTTCTTCTCCAGTAGAGGCTCTCGCACGAGTTGCTGATTCTTTACCACCTTTGGTCCACTCAGAGTAGCAAAAGGGGGAAGGGTGGAAGAAGAAGTTTGTTGATGAGACTAGGTTTTCTGTTTCTGGGATCTTAGCTCAGCCATGATGAGTGTTGGAGGAGTGTTCTTGGAAGACAAACGGTGAGAAGAAAAGATGAGGCAATGTTGTAAAAAGGTTTGAAGAAGAAAAAGTAAAAGACGTTCTAAAAATTATTTATAAGTGAAAAAGGGAAATTCAAGAGTTTTTTACAAATGGCTGGGGTTAGTGGGCCACGTGTGTGCTCAGGAGGAGTTAGTAGAGGTGGCGGTTGTAACCTATGCTCTATAGGGGTAATGATGGCTCACGATTTTGGTGATTCCCGAGAAATTTGCCATGATGTTCATGACGTCAGAGATCGTGCATCAAGGGGGCGTAACAATTCCCTTTTGCGAGAGATTGTGGATATATCCTCTCCCATCACCTTTCAGTTTCCTAAACTCGAAGCAGTTGAAGGTGGGTCAACTATTAGGATATAGTCGAAGGTAAACGGCGTTGAATATGGATGCTGTCAAAAAATGTACTTTTTGTAGCGTCGAAAAACTACATTTTTGGGGGGCAATTTGTTAGCTCACCAATTCGACGACTCATGTTGGAGGCTATTTTCAGCATATTAAAAAGATCTACAAGTCTTCCAAGGACTTAGGAAATTGAAGTCTTGAAATTAAATACTTCGACCTAAGCAAGCGAAATGGTCTTCGACCGAGATTTAGAAGAAGGGTCGAAGTGAGTTTTTGAAATTCGAATCTTGGAGGGAGTAGTTATATTTTCTTATGACTAAGAAGGACAAGTGGCTCTCGTCGGATAAAGGACTGCATGTGGTCTGACACTTGTCAAGAATAGATGACCTAAGGAGGTTATTAGCGGTTATTAGCAGTTACTATTATTATTATAAATAGGAGTCTTAGACATAAAACTTGGTGTGTTGTAATTTACTGTTGTACAAGTCACTCTTAAAATTACTCCAAGTATCCGAGTGTAGAGAAAGAGAGTATTATAGAGAATGTACGTGATGTAAACACACCATCCTTTATCTTTTCAATGAAGTTATTTTGTTTCTTTACTTTTGTCAAGTACTTTTATTTATTTGTTTCATCTTTCCCTCTTGTTCATCATTACTACTTCGATTAAGTCCTTCCCTCCCAAAAAAACCCTTATCTCTTCTCCCCCTAATAATTTTTCTTCCTTCTTTCTTTTAAACATAGTGGATAATTTCTGCCCCCCTTCGTTAAGTTATTTCTTCTTAGTATTGTTGAAACACATTTCTAGATAGGTTCAAATAGAAACACCCTTCAACACATATCCTAGGATTTCGTATGGTCAATCCTGCAAGTTAGTCAATTTGACACCAAATTGATAGACCATAGGTTATTTACCAAAAAACACGGTAAACAACATCCTGGAAGAACATTGAACTTGACTCTCAGAAGTAGTTTTGTTGATGTTTCTCGGTTCTTTGAAAAGTAAATATATGAGAATTTATCCTCCCATCTAAAGCTGTTAAAATAGGTTATCTGATTTTTAATGGATCTCGGAATTTTACGGGTTGAGTAAAAAATTCCATTTAGATTATGTGCTCTCTTTTTACTACCTAGACTCAGTCCTGTCTAAATAGCAGGTTATCTGAACCTAAACGGATTCTGACCCTAAACGGACTATGCCCTAAACGAGTCCATTTTTATAAAAAGTTTAAAAAATCCTTCATAATTTTAAAGTAATAACATGTAACATATTATCGTTATTTAATTAATTCTCCCTAACACAAAATTATCCACTATATAACTTCCAACAAATTATATATAAAGTTATTCAATATGTAACTTCTGACAAATTAAACACAAAATTATCCACCATGTAACTTCCAACAAATTACACACAAATTACGCACAAAACTATCCAACATGTAACTTTGAACAAAATACATAATTTTAAGTTACATGATAACACAAAATAAGGTATATGAATCACGATGACGCAATATCCAATATGTAACTTCCACAAAATAACAAATTTTAAGTTATCAAAATTAACACAAAATCAAATAGTTCTAACTCGACTCACAACGTCACTTTAGTTTTCTTCAAAGACATTCACATGATCAAATGTGTTGGATGCTTGTCCACTTAAACCATCTTGATTAGTATTGATGTCATTATCAAATTCTACACACACAAAAATAGTAGTTAAAAAAATATACATTATTTATAACATGAGTGAATAACATGCAACATTATGAATCTATGATACACTTGAAAAAAGTTAACAATTTTACCTTCAAAATCATATAACCAACTCTTTGTGCACATGAGAGCTTCAACTGATTCCTTTTTCATTGAGTTTCTATACTTGTTTAAAACTCGAGAGCCAATGCTAAAAGCAGATTCAGATGTCACCGTTGTTATTGAAATGCTCAATATATCACAAGTCATTCTTGCAAGATTGTGACATCTACGAATTTTTTCTTCCAATAAGCTAAGATATCAAAATCAACCGATGGATGCAACCTTTGCTCATCTAAATAAGAATCAAGTTCATATTTTTTAGTATTGTTACTTGCTTGACTTTCATGCTCTTCAAATTTCTACAAAGTATACATACAAACAATAATAAAAATTTAAATTTAAAATTAACAATAAATTGCATTTGTAAGAGAAAAAAAGAATAGTTTGCACTTACTTGACAAATATACAATGAGAATGTCAAAGATTCCTTTCCACCTCCAAAAAAAGGTCGCACTTGTGAAAAGTTAGGATTATAAGAAATCCCGTGTTTGACATATTCTGCATAAAGATCATACAACCCACCCTTAATTTTTTTGCACTTGTCTTCACTTGTTGTATCATCAATTTTTTTGTATGCAAAATTCAAAAAGTTGAATTTTTTTTGTTGGATCAAGAATAGCACCAAAGACCAAAATAACATTATACTCACTCCAATACTTGTTAAAATTTTCCCTCATTTTTGTATCCATGTCTTGAATTAAAGAATCTTCACTTGTCAAATAAGAATTTAAAAGACACTCTATCTTCCATATTTCTCCAAAGTACAAATTAGAAGTAGGATAAGAAGATCTCGAGATCAAATTTGTATTAAGGTGAACATTATTTCAACAAATGAACACAATATTATTTCACAACATTACTTCTCAATAACACCCTGTAATACAATAAACAATTGCTGAAGGAAGAACATTATGTATAACGCTACTTGAATCAAACAACACTTACTTGAAGGAAGAACGACGATAAGTGAATAACGGAACAGCCGAACATGGAAGAACAAAGCAGCACAACGATGAGCGAACATCGATGACCGTGTATGATCTATAACAGATGAACATATTACTTGAAAGAATCGAATAACACTTACTTGAATGAATCGAATCAAATAGAGAAGTAGCGAAGCGAACAACGAATAATTAAATAGCGGAACTAAGTAGCGAAGTAGATTAAACTCAAAGCAAGAAGGCACAACACAATAGCTAAGTCATACCGTTCAAGTGTGTATACTTTGGTTCATGTGTAATATGTAATGTATGATAATTTGGGCTGTAGTGTAGATCGAACCCCAAGCATTATTAGATCCTTTGGGCTGAACTGGACATAATGTATTGTAATAATTTGTATGTATCCAAGTAATTAAATTATGGGCTGGACCGAACGTATAATATTGTAACTTGTATGTACCCAAGTAATTAAATTATGGGCCAAGTAATTAAATTAATTCGGGCTGCCGGGCTACCCATATCTCATACGGGCTGGTCCATTTTATAGAGCTTTTTCGGGCTGGACTAAAATAGGCTCGGAATAATACAGGCTCCAAAAATAAGGCCCAAGCCCTAACTTTTTTCGGGTTCGGTGGGCCGGCCCATGGACTTCGGCCCATTTTGACGGCTCTACTACCATGCCCTAAATGTTAACACTCCTTAATTTTCGTTAATTTACATATTATTTTCAATTTATTTTTGTAAAAAAGTGTGTATGGAAAATTGAGTATAACAAGTTAAAAATCTGGTATAATATATTTAAAAAAGAGTATGTATTTTTATTGGGGTTTTTTAAAAATGAATTTAACACTTCTAAATTTTTGAAAAATTCAGTAATTCATATTGATAGGTTAAAAAAAATTAACATTATCTGATATTTTGAAAAATCCAATATATTTTGTAATTTTCTGGCATATTAAAAAAAGAGTAAATTTTTTTTCCAAAAAAGTAGGATTTTATACTGGATTTTTTAAAAAAAATCGATGTAAAAAGTATTATTTTACACCGGCTTTTTTAAAAATTCCAATATATTAAATAAAATCATAAATTTCAGAAAAAGTATGTTTTTTACACATGTTTTTCCTTCAAAAATTCGAGAAAAACTCCCTGACTTCCTAAAAAATTTGGTAAAAATTCATAGACCCTCCCAATAATACAGTAAAATCTTAGAAAATTTACAAAAATCTAGTACACACGAAATTTAAAATAAAATTCATGAAGAATATTAAGATAAAAACACTACTATAGGAGAATGTCAGGTCAAATTTGAGGGTGACAAAATAAATTCTCTTCCTTCTTATATGCACTTTGCTTATTTTTTTCTATAAATAAATGTGCCTTCTTATGGGCACTTGATTACGAGCAATGTGCTCATGCTTCATCGAGACTCTAGTTCTCAATGTAGAGGAAGTGATCTCCTTAAGACTATAATTCTTAATGCATAGAAAGTGGTCTCCTTAAGAGTAAACTCAACAAACAATTAAAATTCTCTCACTAACTTGACGAAGATAGGTACCTCGAACATTTTGAAATATGGTTCCATTTTTTAGTTATCATATCATCCTTGAAATTAAACTCATTTTTAGCCATATTCTCAAAATTCACAAGATGTTCACACATGACTTTGAGTTACTTTGAGTCAGCGTTGATTGTTCTAGGAGTGTAAACAAGTTCTCTCACAAAATTATCTCTGAAACTCTAAACCCTAAATCCTAAACCATAAACCTTAAACCCCATTTAAAAAGCATGACGAGGATACCATTTATGGAGTTTGAAGTTTTAGAATTTTAAAATTTTTTTAATTTTATTTTTTTTGGAGAATGTTAAAGATATTGAATATGCAGGAGTTCATAAGTAGTGGTGTGATGAGTGATGTTGAGATGTTTTTTACAAGATAAGATAATAACTAGAGTGATTTTGAGTTTTAAATGTTTTTTACAAAATAAGATAATAACTAAAATGGTTTTGTGCTACGAAATGAATAAATGCAAATAGGGGACAAAATTGGAATATATATATATATATATATATATATATATATATATATATATATATATATATATATATATATATATATATATATATATATATATATATATATATATATATATATATATATATATATATATATATATATATATATATATATATATATATATATATAGAGAGAGAGAGAGAGAGAGAGAGAGAGAGAGAGAGAGAGAGAGAGAGAGAATTGAAACATTTGTCATAAAATTAAAAAAAAAAACTTATTAGGAACAATTTCACGCATGTTCACTAGGTTGAAAATCTAGTCGATTTGACAAAAATATCCTTGAGGGTTAATTTACACCCTAAAAGATAAATAATCTTGAAGGACTTCCTTATCCATATTATCAATAGGTCGTGAGGGTTGAAATCACTAGAAGTTGAGAAGTGTTCCAAAAGGTCATTTCTTAACATATGGTTATTTTTCAATAAAAAGAAAAGAATGAATGTAACAACCCGTATAATATATATTTAGAGTAATATCATACAAGCATTATTATTTGGTACTGCCATAATCATAATTGCCTATTGGCATCCTTTACATACTTGACCCTTTACAAAATAATAAAGACATCACACAGTCCAAGATATGGAAAGTGCCAAAAACAAAAATATAAGATCTAAGTAGAATATCCATCATTGTACAAGATACATAACGGAAGATCACAATAAATTGCATCCCTTGAGGCATAAATGCATAACTCCTTTTGTATACTAAACCTGCAAACAATACCTGAAAAATGACAATAATATTGGAGTGAGATGATAATCTCAGTGAGTTCCTCTATCCTATGGGCTCACTCGGCTCTACAAGGTTCTAATCAAATCTTAACTCAAGTCAAAAGGAAAAAAAAATACTTGAGTTCACAAAACTCGCAATGTACAAAAACATGACTCTTGAGTTTATCAACTAAAACAATCACTAATCGGAAACCGTACCAAGGTATCTTTCTCCGACAAGCCATACGTCTAGGGTTATCGACTCAGGTCACGGATTCTTGTAACATAGGTATCTTTCCCTGGCAAGCCCTCTATCTAGGATTATCGACAAGAGTCACGTATACCTATCTCATACTTTGACATACACATGGATTTCAAATTCTAATGGATAACATCCACCTTGAGAATCGTCGTTTCCTATGAGATTCTTAACCCATTTCAAGCCTTTTACCCATATGGGATTTTCACACTCCATGAGATCCACCGCCTTTAGGACTAAAGCCCAGGTCATTCAAGTATGAGGTATACCTCTAGATACGCATGGATTTGATCCACCGCTTTTAGGACCAAGCCCAGGTTATTGTTAGAACACAGATTGGTTCTTAATATATCTCAATGTTTTGATGATAACATTAATGAAATTTTGTATAAGAAAATATATACTCTAATTTTGTTCAAGTGTTTTTTGTTTCAGATATCAAATAAATATTCATCTGAAGACAAAAAGAATTCCTCTGAACATGATAATGCAAGGCTCTGAGCGTAGGAAGTGCAGCTGCAGAAGACTCTGAAGCGCTAGTAAAGACTCTAAAGCGCAACACATAAGACTCTGAAGCGCTTGCTGAAGAAGACTCTGAAGTGCTAGCTGCAAAAGACTCTGAAGCGCTTGCTGAAGAAGACTCTGAAGCACTACCTACAGAAGACTCTGAGCGCAGAGTATAAAGACTCAGAACATTCAGAAGACTCTATAAGAACTAAACGCTGCAAGTACAGAGGCTCTGAGAGTCAAGTCAACTCTGATCATTTATTCACGCTAAGCACTTTGCTGCAAAACTCTGGATAGAGTGACTCTGATAAGGAAGAACAAGGAACAACATCAGAGGATCTGATGCAAAGATTATTTTTCATATATGTTCATTTGAAAAGGAAGTGTTCAAGAAAGATACGTTGCTAACCACTACCAACGGTACTATTTCTCGTTCGTGTATGGCATAGGAATTCAAGAAAAAATGGAATGTCAAATCAAGACGAAAAGTATTTGTCCTTTCTGTCTACATCCTACAGTACTTTCTTCTACACACTATTGAGAAAGTGGAGTATATAAAGAAGTCTCCATCAGCACTTCAAGCACAAGATTTTGAGAAGAATTTCAAAAATCAATCAAAGAAATATTCAAACAACTTTCTACATCAAACA